AATTAGAAAAAATATATGAACAAGAAACAAAAGGTGCATACATTCGTTCGAGGATCAAATGGATAGAAGAGGGCGAACGTAGCACTCGATTTTTTCTTGGTTTAGAAAAAAATAATGGAACAAAAAACATATAAAAAGAATTAAAAAGTCAAATGGCGTAATGTTGACAAAAACACAGGAAATCCTGTGTGAGGAAGTTCGCTTCTTTAGACAACTGTATGCAAATAAGGGGATTTCCCATACTGATATCAACAAACACCTGGATCAATCAAATGTAGATATTTTAGCTGAAGAACAATATAGTGTTTGTGAAGGAATTGTTACGTTAGATGAATGTGAAGATACCTTACGGAAAATGAAATTAAATAAAGCTCTAGGAAGCGATGGCTTGACAGTAGAGTTCTATAAATTATTCTGGAAAGACATTAAAAAAATTGTCTGCAATGCACTAAATGACTGCTATTATAATGGTGAAATTAGTCATACACAAAAACGCGGAGTAATAAATTTACTATATAAGAAAGGAGATAAACAATTACTAGAAAATTGGCGTCCTATAACACTGCTAAATACCGATTATAAAATGTTAACTCAAATCATGTGTTCCAGGCTGCATAAACTAATTGGAAATTTAATTAATGATGACCAAAAAGGATACATTAAAGGACGTTTTGCGGTCGAAAACGTTCGCCTAATTAACGATATTTTGCATTATACTGCAGAAGAAGAGGTAGAAGGTGCTATACTATCGCTTGATTTTAGAAAAGCTTTCGATTCTGTCAGTAGAGATTTTATGTTTAAAGTTTTAATTTTAATTTTAAAATTTAATTTTGGTGAATCATTTTGCAAGTGGGTAAACACAATTTATAACAATACAGAATGTGTCATTGTCAACAATGGATGGATATCCGAAAGTTTTAAGATGAGAAATGGATTAAGGCAAGGCTGTCCATTGTCGGCGCTTTTGTTTATTTTAGTTGTTGAAATTATGGCGTGTAATATCAGAAACGATATGAATTATAAAGGAATAGTTGTGCCTGATCCGGATAAAGGGAACGAAGAAGTTCGCATTGCACAACTGGCAGATGACACTATTCTGTTTGTTGGTAATGAAAATAGTATTGAACATGGGCTACACATTGTTAGTAATTTCTGTGAGGTTACCGGTATGACCCTTAATAAAAATAAAACAAATGCCATATGGATTGGTAAGAATTTAAATAGAATAGAACAACCATGTGATTTAAATTGGGTAAATGAACCAATAAAAATATTGGGAATATACGTGGGATACAATAAAAAGGAATGTGAAAAATTAAATTGGGAAAATAAATAAATAAATTTAGAAATGTTACTAAATAAGTGGAAGGCTAGAAACCTTACTCTGTTTGGAAAGGTGACAATTTTAAAGAGCCTCGCGTTGTCTAAATTGACTTACAATGCATCTATTATTGACGTTCCAGAGGACATTATCAACAAAATAAACAAACTGACAAACGAGTTTATATGGAATGAAAAAAGAGAAAAAATTAAGAGAAAAACATTAATCGGCAATATAATTGAAGGTGGCATAAATATGCCTGATTTCTCATTACATATAAAAGCCCTTAAAATTACTTGGGCAAGAAAATTACTTGGAAGAAAACATGTAAGATGGAAATTATTGCCGTTATATTATATAAATAAAGTTGCAGATGCACGTCTAGTTTTTAGTATGTCAAGCATTAATATAAAAGATCATATTAACTTTAACAACGTACCACCATTTTATTTTAACCTCATTAAGTGCTGTGTTGAATTAAACAAAATTGAGAGTCGTATAGTTAACACTTACGAAGCAGTAGCTAAATAAAAAATTATGGGGAAATAAGTTAATAATTACGCATGGAAATAAATCTTTATTTTATAAGAACTGGATTCTCTCAGGACTTAAAATGAATGATATAATTATATATAATCGATTAATGAAACCAGAAGAAATACTTAAAAAATTATGTATTAAGAGAAATTGGCTCAGTGAATACGCATCACTAATTGAAGCTATTCCAAAAGAATGGATTGTTATAATTAAAAATCATAACCGTGATGAGCAAATGGCTACGAACGAATGTAACATAATAAATAATATAGTTAAGTCTAAAACAAAATCTATTTATGCAAGCTTTATTAAGGAAAAATCAATTCCATCTCATTCTACACGCAAATGGGACACGTTTTTCAACGAAGAAATAATTTGGAGTGATGTTTGGATAAGAAAAGTAAAAAAACGAAAAAAACCCAGAAAATATGCACAGTTAAATTATAAATTACTAAACAAAATTGTTCCTACAAACCTACAATTATTCAATTGGAAACTTAAAAGTAGTAACAAATGTAACGTTTGCGATGAAATTTATGATGAAAAACAAGATGTGTATAAGAAATTGATGATGAAAAACACATGTTTTTTGAATGCAAACGTAATAAAATACTATGGAAAAATATAGATCTTTTATTCAAAAGGATAGATAACCGTAGCAGTTCATTTAAAGAACTACTTTTAGGCTGTGGTTCCAGAATTAAAAATACATTGTATTCAATTGCAACATATTCTATTTATTACATTAAAATATTAAGCGAATTGAACAAACCAGTTTGTATAAATCCATGGATTGTATTCAAATATAACGTGCAAGATATTCAAACGTTAGGCCTACTCTAATTGTCAGGGAATTTTAATTTTGGTATATAAAAAGAATCTGCCAAAGGTATATGTTTTAAATATATTGAAGAAAAAAAATTATTACAGTATGAGAGGTGTAGCCCTAGGCCTATTATGATTATGAAGTATAAATATGGTGTTCTCACCATTAAAGAGAAAATAAATACGGTAAATAAATAAATAAATATAGACTTATGTATGTGTGTGTATGTGTATATGTATGTATGGGTATATATATATGTATATATATATATATATATATATATATATATATATAT